CGGCCGCCCCCCCCCGCGCGTCACCCCGACCGCCAGCAAAACCCTCCATCTGTTCCCCATCCGAGAGCCTTCTACCTCAGTCTCTTCGTCCTGCGTTGCCTCGGCTAGGCTCCATGGACCGGGAAGGAGTGGAGGGGGGGGGAAGGCTACAAAACCAGCAGCAATAGCAGCAGCCGCCTCCTCGCGACTGAGGACGGGGAGGATATTGCACGACAACCCCCCCTCCCCAGTTCCCCGCCAATCTCCGTGTCCTTAAAGCGTTGCGTGTTATCTGACAGGCTGTGCCGCGCTGTCTCAGTCTTGTCCTCTCTCTCTTGTCCTCCCGGGTTGCAAGAAGCAGACGCTGTACGTGCTGCTATAATGCGCCCCACTTGCTGCTGGCGTCTGAGCAGCCCTGATGTCGCTCTCTCTCCCTCCCTCCCTCGCTCCCCCCCCTCTCACACACACACACGCACACACAAACCCAGAGGGAGGAAAGGAGGGCGGGGTTGGGGCGGTAAGCAGCTGAACTATGCCCGCCTCCCAATTGATGGTGGGTGGCTAGGGCGCATGCCCGCCGCCACCGGCTGGCGAGGCGAAAACGAGGCGCTTTTAGGCAAGAGGCCGCCGGATCTGGCACGCGCCGCCGCCGCCGCCGCCGCCCTTGGCGCGGGCAGCATCATTGCTGTCCCTGGGAGCGCTGGGGAGGCGCCCGCCGCCACCACCCTCGTATCCATGAGGGAGGAGGCATCTGGATTTCTGAAGCTGTTTGTTTGTGCGCGAGAGACAGAGGCTTTGGAATATTGTGGGAAGACATAAGGAGGAAGGGAAAAGCGCAGGGTCGTAGAACGTAGGGTGTGTGAAATGGCCCGGAAGCCCAACCCTAGTGGGGAAGCCACTATGCAAGGATTTACAGCCCCGCTGGATTTCTTTAAAATACATATATAGTGTATATTAAGGGAATGATGATCGCAAGATCGAAGGAAGCTTCTAGGGATTACAAGAACGCAAACTTGAGGCTAAACTTGCTGGTTTAACAATCAGCTCAAGGAAATGCCGCTGCTAACACTTTGGCACCTTGCCGCCCTGCTGTACGTGCAGTGCCATGCCCTCTCAGAAGTTTTTCTGACTATCACCGCCTGGGTCATGAGTCAGTGAGATTCAACAGCCTCAGGCAGCAAGAAACTTGGTGGCACAGTCAAGACGCCTGAGGACACTCCTTGGTGACTTTCTGTGTGCCTCTTAAGGTAGCTTGGTGTTCTCTAGCAGGAGAGAGGATCCTTTCCTGGCAAAGTACTGCTGTACATTTCTGCCACGAATGTGGTCAACTAGTGTAAATTGAGTGGGGTTTTCTCACCTTTTGCCCCAGGCAGTAAATTATCTTTAGCTGGCCCTCTTTTGCACAGGCTAGTGAGACACGATGAACAGCCTATTAGTCAACAGGCTCCTTGTTTGCGGCGCATTAACAGTGGCTCTAATGGCAGCATTATAGTGCCACTGAAGAACATGCTGTTTTACAGAGAGACAACAGAAAGACAGCTTCCTCCATGAAAGGCTTATTGATCTGAAGCTTAACACAGAAGTAGTAATGGAAGTGTGTAACCAGGAAGTAGAGGTAACTGAAACCAGCTATACATTCAGTGCAGTTCCATCTAAAATGGGCTAATTTATAACAAGGGATATTGTACCAAAGAAGTCATAGGAGTGGGGTGGGAAAGTGGCTTTTCTTGAAGGACCTGAAGGAACAAAGAGATATGCTCAGAGATACAGTACAGTATAAAGAAAGCACCAGCGTGTTGCTTGATGGTGTCACAGTTGCTGGGATTTAAAAAACGTGGTCAGCTCGGGTGGGCGGAAGGTAGATTTGTAACCACTTTTCCCATTTAGATCAGTAGAGATTCTTTGTTTCTGATTATTTAAAAAAAAAGGTAGCAGGAGAATGATCCACCACCACCATAAATAATACTGCTGAAATGAAGGGTATTTTCAAATAGAACACTCTTAGAGCAATCAGTTCAAAAATCATTGTGCAGCTTTTCTGTTTCTGTTTCTTCTGCAAGAAAAGAAGTGGAAAAAATCAGCTGGAAAACAATGGAAGACCGTGCCATCTGTATAATTTGCTGTTTGAAGCTGGGCAATTGCAAGAGAAAACTTTGTCTGGAAACACCCAAGGAACGCTTGGGATAACCAGAATGTAGAGTCAGATGTCAGAAGAAATTCTGTTTCCCAGTGTGCATTCCAGGAAAAGAGCCAGCCTGTGTAGCCTTGGGCAAGCTGTACAGTTCCAGAGTGCTCCCAGAAGACGGGAAGGGTAACCTACTTCTGAGTATTCTTGGCCCATAATTTTTCCCATATTCAGCATATATTCAGTACTTTACAGTATTTATATTTTCCTGTGAATATATGAATTTTAATAACGTTCATCTGTGAATGCTGTATCCAATGAATAATGTGAATGACCCCACCAGAATACAGATGTACACAAGTGTATAATAGGAATTGTTCTTAGAAATTTGGATTAAGAAACTCTGGACTGACTTGCAGAGAAAATTATGTGAATCTGACCATCCCAATCGCAGAGTATTTCCCATATTACTTGCCAGTCTAGTCACCCACTCAGAATATTATTTCCTGTTTTTGAATCATTAACATACTTTTAAAAGGAAAATACTCACTCACGTGAACATGCCTCCTAGAATAAGTTTTATTGTGCTGAACGGTGGCTCACTTTAGCTCTTACACCAAATCATGCTGAAGGAAATTGCTTCATGTGATGCTTGAATGGTCAAACTACAGTTCACAATCAGCTAGCAATCTAGAATCACAAAATGTGATGGCCAAAATCATGTTGTGAAAAAAAAACCTACACCTGTAATTTTGCAGTTTGCCAGCTGCTAGTAACGTGCCCAGTTGTGCACCCAGTCATGTGCCCCAATGCATACCTATCTGGCAAACTGACTCCTATTGTATGCCCAATTGCTGTTACAGGATTGTGTAATGCAAAAGCATTCTGGCTGGACTATAGCAAAATTGCTGTGTGATATGATGCCTGAATTGACAAGCTGTTGCTATGGATGTCACTGGAGTAAGTCACTGAGCAGATAGAAAATATAAGCAGGCAAACATCTACATTATGTGGTTAGCCACAGTGTCGTCTATGTTTCCGTTAGTACAAACCATGGTTTAATATGATGTCTCAATTGAGCCTCTCTGTTACTGACTGAATTTTTTAATCATTTGCAACTTTAATTCAAATCTACATGCATTATGCCAGCTCTCCAATAATCATATTGTTTATTCACTTAACAGAAAGGGATTAAGTAGTATAATCGGGGCTTCACAAACATCCACGTATTTGCAGATTGGTATAAGACCTCAAAAATAAATAAACCTGACTCTGTTCTTTCAGGAACATATACAATACCCAGCATTTCTTAGGATGTGATCTTTTCTACTTTCAACACCTCTGTCCACAATGCACACTGTAGGCTGTAGCAGGAAGTAAAGGAGTAGACCGTGCACCTTGACCTTTAAATGGGGTGAATTAGCATGCTGTTACAAATGTAAGAACTCTGTTTCCAGTTATTAAATTGGGCTATAGCAAATTGTTAAATAAGGAGTAGATAATTCCCAGAAGGATTGTGGTTAAGTTAGATTTTCTAAACACGTGGCATGTTAGAGGGTCACTGATCCATTGGATACCCTAAAATGCTACCGATGAATAATAGAAATATAACATACATTTGGAATATGCCAGGAATAATCAAATCTAGCTGTGGCCTGAGGGACTGTGACCTTAATTTAAAATCAATCAAGAAGCCTTCTGTTGATGGCAGCTGGTTGCACTATTCACATGTCTAACACTGATGTTCTCACAAGCCTGCCATGGTCAATTTCATTAAAAAGTTGGGGTGGAAGGCTTGCATGTCAATTTACTATACATCTCTGGAGGAAAGTAAGAAATTATGGCCTTAAGCTTTGGTTCTGTGGCAAAGGGGTGTATTGTTGCTACTCCTGCTAGTACTCCTGCTGCTTGCTGTTACAGAAACAGATTAATTTAGCAGCTTTTAAAAGTAACACAGCACTAGTAATTATGGGCATACTGACTCCAAGCATTTTAACACTGATGTATCATTTTTGGCATAAGAAGTGCTATGTTGTTTCTTGCTATATTTTTGAAAAAAGGCATTGAATGGAATATTGCCAGTTTCTCATTTTTAAGTTCAATTAAAAATAGTGTGTTAACATTAATGTGTTGTAGCTAATGCTAATGTTAATGTGTTATAATTTTTTTTACCAGCGAGAACTAATATATTTTCTCTGATACAGTATTTCCAAAGGCTTGTAATTTATCAAGCTCCAAAATGTATGTCATATTTTATGTCATTTATTCTGGGGTCTTTTTTATTCTACACAAGAATGCTGAAATTCTATAAATAATTGCAAATATAGTGATATCAAAAGAGGTTTAACCCTGTATCATAAATCAGAGTTTGAGTGATCAGGATACTTTATGAATATTAAATAATTGTAAGCTGTTTTCCTAAAATGTCCGTTACGTACAGTTAGCCACATGTCTCTGAAAGACAAATTATCTTAGAAGTGGCAGCCCCATCTGACTGCTGTTTCAGAGTCCTGTTGAAAAGAGGGACATGTCTCACTATACATACGACCCTTGCACATGATGTCTGTGGGTCAGCTCCAAATGTAGTCATACCCAAAGCATACCTAAGGTGGAATGTCTTCATCATTACTAATTTAAGTACCACTAATTTCTAGCAGTCCAGGTGTTATATATACTTGTCACAGCTTGGAGGGCTGTATACTATATGCCATAATTCCCTAATAACGAGGAGTTTCTTTCATCACCATGACTGAATAGAAAGAGTCCAATGTAGAGAAAGAGACATATTCAACAATACGGTCAACTGCATCATTTCCATCACTCAGGCTATAGTGAGCTATAGTCACTCAAAGAGGCAGATTCTACAAGTGGCCGTATAGATCCCAATCTCTTACATAACCATTTTCCATTTAACATGACATAATTGATGCATGTGTTTCTGATAATTAAGTTGATAAGTTGCATGAAGAGACTAGGAATTTGTCCATTATGGAATTTGTCCATTATGACATCCTAGAATCATAATAATCTTAGAACTATAAACAACTGCAAAGTTATGAATACATTTTAAAGAATTGTTCTGATTATACAGAAGTAAATTTGTAGAAATCAAATGTGAAGCTGATAAATGTGAATGATTCTCTGTTCTTTCTGTTTTAAGCAAGTTGAGCATGATGTGAACGATTCTCTCGTGTTCTTTCTGTTTTAAGCAAGTTGAGCATCCATGCTTCATACAAGTTGTTCACATGTGCTGTAACACTCCTATGTTGACATCTTTTAATAATAGTCTAACTAGGAAGCTATAAATATACACTTCTAGAAAATAGAGT